GCAGTATAGGACAAATGCCATCCCCGTTAGAGAGGAAATGACTGCTTAGAGCCATGCAGTTGGGGAAGGGCATCCTGCTACAGTCCTGGTTTCAGCTCTTAAGGAAATACAACCAAAGGTCATGGATTTGTCATATTTCTTCCAACAGTGAAGCTGATTTGAAGTTCCTTTCTCTCTGCCATGGTTAACTGTTCTCTGTTCCTCTTAACAATCTGTACTTTGAAGTAACTTTGCATAAAGAGGAGAGATTGCCTTTTCACTTACTTGTCCTGAAATAACTTTGCAGGTGCGAGGTTAGAGACAAGTTAATGTTCAGTATTTAAAATAAGAATTAGAAATGCTTCATTATAACACTACCACTTATATGAAACTATTTCCTCCTCATACTGAAGGTAAATGTAAGCTGCTGCGGTCCAAATGTGCAACATTCTATGGTGAAAAACTTCCAGAACTGAAGGATAAATTAATGCAGATGCTAACGATTTAATTTAATGTACTAATGAATCATAACAAGAAATATAAATAATAACAATGTATAAATACCCAAATATAAAGAAAATAAAAACTGAATAAAAATAAAGTAGATGCGAGCAAAATACATCTACAAAACATTTGAACTATTATTGAACCTAATCTTATGCTATCCTGTTTTTGTTTTAAGTAACCTTAAGTAACCTGAACTGTGAGCTGTTGAAATCAGTTCATGGAAAATATGGCTAGTGCTGATCTAAACTTGATGTAAATAGTTGTGGGCCACAGTTCAGAGTACAGAAATAATTAGCATAAGGACAACAAGCCTTTGTGTTACTATGTATTTAAGCTTTTATTTTGTATCAAATATACAGTTTGCAAAAACTATTTAAGTGTTAAGATTTTAAAAGACAAGATTTAGAAGGGGAAGGTGTTTGCTCTTCCTGTAGTGGATTTGATAGTGATTTCCAATTTTCCTCCTCTCTTCTCTTGCCCCCAGATGAAATTACTGAAGCGAAGTCTGGGACTGCAACTCCACAGAGATCAGGTTCTGTGAGCAACTACAGATCTTGTCAAAAAGATTCAGATGCTGATGTGCAAGGAAAATCTGCAGAAACGTCCCTTACCTCATCAGTGAACTCTTCGCTTGACTCTTCCACAGCTGACGTAACTCCAAGACCAGGGAGTCATACAATAGAATTTTTTGAGATGTGTGCAAATCTAATTAAAATACTTGCACAATAATTTTGAAGATGGGCTTATTTCTTTTATAGCAATAAGCATGCCTAAATCATAGTCAGATGCTTCCAATTATAATCAAGTTAAATTAACTAAGGCGCTGAAAAAGCTAGCCACAGAATGCAATTTGCACGGGGATTAAAATTACTATGGGCAGTTAGCATATAATATTTTGAAGCTGGAGTGAATTCTGATTGCCTGCTGCCCAATGGCATAACACAGGTACAGGAAATAATATGCCCTCTGGGTAGTGTTTATAACATTTACATTGAGTGCACATTAGGCTGCATATAACATTTAAGTTAGATGGACCTCCTTGTTTTTTTCACTGGTAATACATATATCTGATGCACTGTAGGTAAATGTACACTTACTTGTTCAGTGACCCAAGTATGACTTGCTGGTCACCCTCGGCAGTTGTGACTCAGTTGGTCAGAACTATCAACAACAGTAATGTGTTAAAACTGCTGTGTTTCTTCCCCCTTACTTGACAGTGAATAATAAAGAATAGTTTGATATGTTGCAATGTGCTATTTCTAACAATAAATTTTATTAAATGCATGCGAATCCAGCCAGTTGGAAATGTGTGCAGGTGCTCTGTAATGCACTGAGGGTGAAAATCTGTTGCCAGTGAGTTAAATGATTTAGTTCACAACAGTGGTGAGAAACTTATTGCTGAGAAGACTTGGCACCAGATGGGCTAAACCAAAATGTTGCAGTGTGTGGAACTGTGAGCAAGTCTCTGTTTGTGCATATACCTTAGTATGGTAGTGTGATTCTCATCTGCTGCTGCAGGCTGAGAATCCTTTTCCTTAGAAACATTTAAGGGCACAGTTTAAGGGCTGTTTCAAGCTATTCCAGAATCTGAAATTGACAGTTTTTTTACCATACAAGTTTATACTTTGATACAGCTGGTTATCACATGTTAACTTAGGATATACTGTGTACTATTCGCTTTGCAGTTAAAACTACATAAACAGGTTTTTAGTTTTTCCCAGGCCGCCTTAATACCAAACTTTGCTATTTACTGTCACTGAATTGAAGTCTAACTTTTCAATCGGACATTGAAAACTGATCATGACAACTTTAGTGCTAATATTGAGAAAGTTTTCATAGTAAGTCACAATTACCCATAACAAAAATCTTTCTGCATTTATGATTTTTGCAACATTTTAGGAAGAAAATTGAACTTTATATGTTAAAATGGCAGGTAGTATTTACATGTTTAGTCTCTTGCATATTGGATATAATTAGCCACAGTTCCATTTTCATCCAGCCCTTATTAGACATAACAGTCATAAAATATTATTTAGGTTTGCATTCACGAATTAATGTTCCCTTCAAACATTAACTTCATGACCTACTCAGTTTCAAGGGAGAGTCTGGAAATCCAGCAGTGAAACCTGGACTCTTCAAATGGATGGAAATTCTTGCCAATGACTGAGATTTTAATTCATGAGAGGCTGATAGCTACAGATATAAGAACAGTTTAATCCTGGCCACCTGGCTTCAGTCCAGAAATTAATGTTTTGAATATGCACAGAATCTAAAGAAACATAAAGCTGCTTTAAGCCCACCTGCTGTACCGTTGTTCTGAAGTGGGCAATTGTGAGGTCTGTCTAGTAGGTGGGTCCAATTTACAAGTTCATTTCTTTATCATCAAGTGTCACACATGGTTTCTGTAGGGACATTGGCTGTATCACTGTACCTCAGAGTGGAAGATAAAAGTTTTGCATTTAAACTCCCGAGGTTCAGATGTCAACATGAGGGACCAGTTGCAAATCCTACAATAAAGTCCTGTTTTTAGTCTTTGAAGAATTGATTCTGGTGTACTGAATAAATCTATGTGTTCATTTTTGTAATCCTTTTATTTCGAAATTACTGAATATTGCACTTGTATAAACACTACAAACGCACAGGTTTTTAAATTGCAGTAATTCCTCATCTGAAATAGGTTTGGTATCACTTACATATGCTAAACTATTTATAAATGCTATCTGCTCCTTGTAATGCTGACAACAAATGGAAGATGTCAAGGTGCAAATAGCTTTTAATTTTTATATACCTTTTTGGCCCTCTTGTGCATTAAGACAACCATGTTTTTTCCTTAGTTTTGGTATCTGGAGGCTAAAGCAAGTTTCTGGCAAAGTGTACAATATGTGTAGTTTTAAATAAAGTAAATTTTTATTGGTAGATAGTTCAGTTTTGATGGCTGAAGGTTTTTTGATTGAACTGAGATTTTTTTATAGGAAGTGGGAGGGGCAGAAAGGGGCACTAACAACCTAGTTGAACCCAGTTGCCTGTTGGGGGACTTTCCTATGCTTTGTAGATCTTGCTGTTGAAATTGCTTTCTTCACATGTTCTTATTGATCCTGCAGACCTTTAGCATTGCACTAGAAGCTGCCAATAGGCTGTGAAATGAAACATCACTAGAGTTGCCAGCATTGCAAGGAGGCAGCTTATGCAAATACACAAATTGGTCAAGTGTGTTACTCTGTATTCCCAAGCTTACTCTTTTTGGAGTACAATGAATGATCTTGCCTTTGTATTGTAAATTTTTCAATAACATGGATGAACCTTACTGTCCATATGCAATATAACTCACTAAGTAATGGATAAAAATTCATCTTGGTTGTGCAATATTAAAAGAAAAAAACCTTCATGTTTGTCTTGATATTGTCTTGATACAAACTTTGAACTAAATTTTATTTTACTAGTTGATTACCATTGTAAGATATGAAGTCTTGTTCTTTAACAAATATGTGCCTACTTCCTCTGTTAATTTCTTTTGACAAAGCAGAATAGCAAAAATGCTTGTTTATAACTGTGTAACTTTTTAAACTTTCAAAACTTAAACCCAAGTAAACATAAAATACTGAACCATCTTGTTTGAAACTGTGTGCATGCTGTCTTCTAGTGTTGTGCATGTTATAATTGGACAAGAACTATTACAACTATTCTAAAAACAGCAATTACAGTTTTAGAAGGAACAGCAACACGACAAAGGACTGCAGAATTCCCAGCTAGGCGGGTTGGTTCCCCAGCTGAGCTCGCACGGTCCTACTATTTTCCCCTAGATCCTGTAAACCCTTTTGGTGCGGAAAAGGAATTTTTGGTGGGAGGGACACCGAATACTCAGTGTAAAAGATGCCTTTTGCCCCCCTGTGGTGACTCGCCTTGTCTGCCCTTTCCACGCACCGGGGGTGAGGCTTTTGCCTTGGTATTTGTCCCTGTAACTTGGGAGCACTTCTAAACCCTGCAGCCTGTCTCTTTTTTTTTTTTTTTTTTTTTTTTTTTTTTTTTTTTTTTTTTTTTTTTTTTTTTTTTTTTTTTTTTTTTTTTTTTTTTTTAATATAATCCGTTTAGAGTTAAACCCCTTGCTTATCAGCCCTGGTCACTTTTCCTTGTGGTCTATCCCGGCGGGCGGGAGCCGCCTGCCCGCGGGGGGTGAGCGCTGGCCCAGGCGCAGTCCGTGCTGCCGAGGTGGCCATTCCTGACCCCCGCCCCTGTCCCCCTGCGGCACTCGGGCATCAGGAACGCCTGCTTCCTACAGGGACAAGTGTTGTCGCCCCTCCGCGCTTTCCCCCGCGCTCCGCTGCCCGGCGCTGCCCCGGTCCGCACACGCATCCCGGCAGGCGCGGGGAGCAGCCAGCCCGCCGCAGGGCCTCCTTTACTCCCGAGAGCCTCAGGGCACGGGGATTTCACAGGCACTGACACCCCGAGCCGCGGCCGCCCTCGGGCGGACTACAGCTCCCGGCTGTCCCTGGCTGCCACCGGCCTTCCTTCCCTTCCTTTCTCCCTTCCCCTGTCTTCCTGCCTCTGCCGCTCCGCCTTTCCGCTTCCTGCCGCTGGGTTACGGCTGGCACGGTACTTCCAGCTGGGGGGAATTTCCCGGCGGGAGCCGCAGGTAACGGCAGTGGGGCTCCCAACTGGGCTGCCCTCATTAACACCTGTGGTGGAGCCATGGGCAGAGGGGGCTGCCAGTCTGCTCCACTTTACCGCTCTGGGATCGAAAGTGAGGTGTGTTTTCTATCCTGGGTACTTAAAAGCTACATTACATAACCACCGAAAATGTATTTTTTTTCTCAAGTTCTCCAGATGGCTTCTTTTGGGTGGAAGAGAAAGATCGGTGAGAAAGTTTCAAGAGCCACTTCTCAGCAATTTGAAGCAGAAGCTGCGGATGAGAAGGATCTGGCTGGCGATGATGATGCTAACTGGGTGCATGCGACTAAAAGAAGAAAGGAAATTCTCTTAGAAGACTGTGCAAAGAAAAGTAAGGAGCTCAAGGATGAAGGTGCAGATTTGGCAGAAAACAGGAGGTACTGATGTTGTTTTACTCTTTTACTGAATAAGTACTACATAACATTTTAATCCCTTCTCTAAACTGTAGGTAATTTACTAGTATTTGCATTCATATTTTTCAAATTCTAAAAAGTGATAATTTCATTCTGCCTGTACTGTGTGGTACTAAATAAGTTGTTGCCTTTAGTGGTGGTGTCAGCCATGAAATGAAGTCTATCTTCCATTTTATTTTTGCGTGTTCTCATGACAACAACAACGAAAAAGAAGGCAGGAGATGAAAAACTGGTTGGATCTGAAAGTTGAAAAGGTAAATAAGATGCAGAGAGATAAGCCATACTGTAAGTAATGCTTTAGCTACTCTTGAAAATCTGTGTTTTCTCTTATTGAGGGTAAGCCTATTTTGAATGTGTACAGTGCCCAGGCAAATACTGCAAAGCAGTTAATGCACTGTTAATCTGCTAATGCTTTTCGAAAGTCGAGTTCAGGGAGTTGCTCTGCCCGTATTTTGCTTTGGTTGTTGTATATCTTTTCTCAGTGGATTCTGGTGTTCTTTTTTTGGGGTTTTTTTTTGGTGTATTACGTAAAGTGCAGTAAATCTCTTGAACAGAGACAAATAATCTGTCGTAGATGTGGTTTAGGGCAGGGAAATACTAAGCAGCAGGTAGGTTTAGGTGCTTTTAATGTCTTCAGTTGGTCTTAGAAATGGAGTTCTGCATTACCTGTCAGTTAAAAAACAACACAAAAGCTTAACCCATCCATAAGGGTTTCTTGTAAACTTAGTGGGAACTGTATCTCATCAAAAATGCTTTGAAGAACTACTGAGAAACTCTGAATGGTTTATAGCTTAAGAGAGAAAAGTTAACATTCATACTTGAGGCTTAACAGAGGTTCTTACTTAGAATTGTTATTTCCATGAGTTACTCTAGCACGCTCTGTACAGTTCAGGCAATGATGGCGATATGGTGCTGCTGGGCTACATAACTTTCAGACAGATTCTTCTCTCTAAAAAAAAATAAATCACATTGGTTGGAGGCTAAACTTACAATGTGAGACTTTTATTACTTAAACAGGTGGAACAGCTGATGTACCATTACAGGGAGCTTGAGGAAGCAGACTGAAAGGAATGTTTATTCTGTCTGGTCGGAAGTGATTGCTGTAATTGTGTTCAGGTTTATGTGGTCTGTTTCTTGAATATACATTTGTACAACATAAGCAGACATAATTAAATACTCTAAGTAGATTCTTTCCTGAAATAATGAAGTGTAGTAACAGTTAAGGAAAGATTTGAGTTGAATTGTGTAGCATTTAGGTAAAAAGATGGTATCTCTCCCACTGAAGAAACTCAGAAGAAAGACATAGAGTGACCATTAGAGACTAACAAAGGTTGGTTCTTAGTTGGTGTTACTTGTGGAGTGGAGATAAGGGAATTCAAAATGAAAACAGACTTGTGAAGATGCAAGAGGCTAAATAAATGAAAGAGCGGAAAGTAATAAATTCAACTTCATTTGTTGTAGAAGAGAGACTCAGAGGTAATGTGCATGGCAAAAATTAATATGATTAAAGGTGAATTTTGTAAGTGGGCCTATTACTTAGCTGAAATAGTGATTACCACCTTTATGTGGTGTGTGTTCATCTTATTTTTCTGTTGGTGGCACTCTGTGGGTTTTCAGCTTCGATGGAGCCTTGAGGCTCAGCTTTGAGGAGTATTTGTACTTGCTATAATGTGTGTGCATGAACCCGTGAAGCCGAGACAGACAGACACACAGAAGAGAAATGGTGATGATGACAACAGTTTCTGATGCGTATTTTAGTCTTTTTGTGGATGAAAGGAAAGATTAGGAGACAACCAGAAAAAGGTGTTAGACTATGTTGATTGTCACAGTGGATCTGTTTTTGTGAAAAAACATGATTTAGAATGATCTAGAAACTTGCTAAGTACGAAGTTTTGAAGATGGCTTGTGAATGAGTGATTTTGTCATAACAGCAAGAAATAGCAGACACGTGGAAGAAGTGTCATATTTGTATGGTTTTTTTTTAGGTATGAGGAGTAATTAAACAAATATGTACAAACATACACACTGTCTTTTGGGAACAAGCACATAAGGGTGATTCTTGGGGCTGTCCTGAGCAGGGCTAGGAGTTAATGATCCCTGTGTATCCCTTCCAATTCAGGATATTCTGTGATTTCTGTGAACAGAATATTGTCTGCTGATGGAAAGAATGGAGAATATTCCAGGGGAGAAAATTATTTTGCTTATATGAAACTTGAAATGCTGCTGGCTTGAGACATCAGTATGGATCTGCCCATACAGACTGGACCAAAAAAAACAGAAAACAAATCCCAACCCAAAAAGCAGAACCAAACCAACCCCCAAAAAACACAATCCAGGTTAGTTTTTTTGTGTTGATAGCTCTACGCTGTTTTAAATCTAACGTAAGTTCATGTGTTCAGTTATTTTGAACACGGAAATTGTCATTACAGTGTATTTTGACTGGTAGGTAGAGAAGTCTTCGACTATGGCCACACAACGATGAAAAAAATAAAGGGTTTAGGTGAGGTTAAACAGTGAAGTATAATGTTCTCAAGCATATGGCATGTGAGAGCTAACAGCAAGACGAAAAATTCCTGTCGAACTGGTATCCTCAGTGTAAGTGAGTTGCCTATTCGCACAGGTAGCTTTGCAGTCATCCCCCTGTGCTGTTTTAAGCCGCGGACTCCCGTATCTGCCCAGTAAGTGGCGATAGAGTTCTTCTCAATGTGCCCTGAAGAGATGCACATTTTCTGTTGGAAATAGACGCTATTGGGTTTAAATTCTTATGGATTTGCATTTAATTTTTCAGTTTTGCTAAACAGAATTTAATACTGCTCTCGCTTCTGATGATGTTTACTCCATATTGCACTAAAAAAAACCCCAACTTCATCTCGATTGGGAAAGTCATGTTATCAGCTGGAACACTTACATTAGGGATTCACCTATGTTAAAATAAATATTTGTGTCACTTTGTCACTTGATGTATAAATTATACTGATGAATAAGGTTTAACTCTTCATTTCCTTTAGCTTTTGCAGCAGCAAATTAAATAATCACATGTCAAAATGCAGTGAGCACACCAGATAATGGTTCAATTTTCATGAAACTGTTTATTTTTCTAGAGGGATTTTTTAGAAATGCTTATTTTTCTAATCTACTGAAAAAAATTGGACTTTTCTGGAGGGTCATTTTTTCCACATTTTAGCAGCTGAGACTTCTGATGCTCATGCCAGCGTAACTCCAACATATGTTTTAGCTATATATGCTGTAATTGACTCTTTCTTTCTCACTAGACATTTTAAGATGTTAGATGATGAAGCTTATACCTTTAAAAAGTATCTTCAGTGTAGTGGTAAGTCAAGTGTCACTGAAAAAATATGTTTAACAGGTAGAGCAGAGGAATAACACCTAATTAAATAAAGTTGAAAAACCTTCCATCATGTTCTTTTAACTCTTGTATTTGTTCCATTTGCGTGTCTTTCAGATTTAGATTATTATAAGTACATGTTTACTAATGAGTTATAAAAGTGCTAAAGTAATAAAATTGCTTTCAGATTATATTGGTTGTTCATTTTGATGCACCTAACATGGCAAAGGACAGAGATCATTATGTTGAAATTGCCTTTCAATTTTCAATCAATAAAACTTATGTTACTTACATAATATAGTGCTAATAAAGAGGTTTCCCAGAAGATCAAGCAGCTACCTTTGGTAGAAACATTTCACCAGCTTAAAAAGCTTAGTTACATTATGGAGTAGCCTAGAAAAAGTGGAGTATGTTAGAGAGAAGAGGGATCCAGGAGAGCTAGTGACATTTATTTCAAGTTATTCCTCTGAACTCAAGAATTATTCATTCTGAAGAAGAGGAGGTCAAGAAAAGGTGAATGAAAGTCCTGCATGGATGCACAGGAAGCTCCTGGCAAAATCCAAACTTAGAATGGAAATGTGGAAGATGTGGGAGCAGAGTTGTGTGATGCAGAAAGACCTGAATGTACAGGGATGGGGTTGGGAAAGCCAAAGCCCACCTGGAGTTGAATCCAGGGAAGGATGTGAAGGGCAAAAGAAAAAGGGCTTCTGCAGATGTATCAGTAGCAAAAGGAAGATGAAAAATGTGGGTCCTCTATTGAGTGGGGTAGGGAATGGACTGATAAATGATGCATAACAGGTAGAGGCACTTGCTGTCTTCTTTGCCTAGGCTTATAAGACTTACCCTCAGGAACTCCAGGCCTTGTAACCTGATGGAAAGTCTGGTGCAAGGAAAACTTGCCCTGGGTGGAGGTGAGTTAGACTGTGAAATATTTGGATAAAACTGATGCATGGAAGTTCATGGGACCTGATGGAGTGCATCTTGGAGTGCTGAGGGAGCTGGTTGATGTCATCACAAAGACTTCAACTGCATTTGAAAGGTCATGACAACTCCTGGGAGCTGCTAAAAAGCAAAGATCACTCCTTACCTTCATGAAGGGAAAGAAGGAGGATTCAGGAACTTTTAGGTTAATCAACTGTAAAGCTATGTATGGGAAGAAATTATTCTGGAAACCATTCTGAAATGTGGGAAGTACAAGAAAGTTATTGGAAGTAGCTGACATTGATTAGCAAAGGTGCAATTATGCTTGGCCAACCTGAGAGATGACAGATTGTTCAGAGAAAGGTATAGATTTTCCATCATTGTTGATACTAGGAACGCACTGGACAGAACGCCACCTGAGCAACCTCCTTCATGCGACCCTTATTTGAGCAGGGTGATTTGACTAGATGGTCTCTAGAGGTTCATTCCAGTCTTGGCCATTCTGTAAATATATCCCATTAAACCTACAGACACAAATTTAAAAAACTGCAGTTTGCTCTTCCTTCTTACTATCTCTATCTGCCAACTAACCTCATTTAAAGCAAAGATATATT